AACGAACTCCTTAGTACTGGGTATGACACGGATTACTTGACTCAAACATCGAAACTGAGTCGCCAACGTTTCACTAATGATCACACTTTAATTTAAATTCCTAGTTCTGGTAAGACCGGAAAGCAAATAATAATCCAGCACCCATGAAAAAAGAAAGAATAACTGTAACTGTCATGTATTCATCGCAGTCAAAAATAGAGACTCTGTGAGTCTTTGACATTGGATGCTGACCACATGCGTTTTAATGAACTCACTTGGCTGACGGCGCTCGGTCATGCATCCGCACCAGATCACGAGTGGGAGCGCCGTGCTCAATATCCCCTGCAGTCGTTAGCCAGTCTAGAACAGTCTGTCCTCAATATATTGATAACCTATCAGATATATCTTCGAAACTACTCGCTTCCGTCTTTTGATTTCACTTTGTGTGTACGATTTATAGTATGTGTCACTGGTTAAAGCGTTGTCAAACTCCAAATATATATATATATATATATATATATATATATATATATATATATTGCAAATTAAGCATTTAATGAATTTTTCTCTGATTTTAGTGAGATATTCTGTGATTTCGTGTTGAAATACAGTCGATTGTCTCCATTTGTGTACTGTTCACTACACTATGAGTTCATGCTAAGTTACACCTGCTCGTGTTTGTCTCACGTGTGCCTGAAATACAAAAAGATACGCCGATAGGACTAACAAAATAGGGAACACAAGACACTATTAAATATGATCGTATTAACCCTCTCCTGTATATCGGCCTATCCAAGCAGACATGAGTTTATGAGAACCAAAACCCGAACCCTTAAACCAATAAAACTACCGACTGTTGTATACATATCAGTCGACTGTGACAGTAAAAATCGGTGGGTTGGAGTTAGGAATAGAAGCACAAATAGCACAGTCTTAAAAACGCTACAAACTGGAAACACCAGACCAAGGTTCGTTATTGAATGTCCTGGTAGCCGGCAGCTCAAATATGAGCCAACCCGGAAAATCTCCATGATTTCATGAAAAAACCTGAGCCTGCAAATCAGGCAATCTGTGCTCTCAAAGCTCTCAATAGTAAATATCTCACTAACCCCAGCAGAAATTTTTTAGGGAGACTTGGTTGACTGATTAAACCAGGCGCGCACAAGCCCAAAACTTTTTTCAACTTTAGTGTCAGCTGAACTATTCATCTAACGTCCGTGCAAGTGCCAAGAAAACCAAAATCCCCTACCTCAGAAAGTTATCAGGACGCGACAACATTCTCCCTTTTATTTGGAACAGCATGCAAAGCCATCGGCACATCACCGTGTGACTTGTTCAAACACTTGTATTCGTATTGGGATTACCAATTGTAGCGTGGCGTCGAGTTGAGGTTAACTATGAACACCGCTACCAAGAAACACGTGCCAAAATAGATCGGAAGGCGTAAGAAGCTCGTTCCAAATGACTCCATAAAATCCCCGAGAAGCCGAATACCAGAAGGCAATTAATGGACCAAGTCGATGTTTATTTGCTGGCGATCTCGTGGTATCGAAAGGATACCGAGATCGTGCCAGGATACAAGCTTGGTTACAGAACGTAACCGAATTCGCGCGAAGTTACAATCAAAGTGTAAGTATAAGAATGGAAGCACAAAATAGCTGCCATTAGCACAGTCAAACAAAAGCACGTTAAAACAAACACTGGTACAGTTGGTTATAATAATAATTGTTTTTATTAAACCAGTCGTGTCCTCGTGATAAACGTGAGTCACTACACACTCATTAGTGTTACAACAACTACCAAAAGAATGAAGAGACTCTACTCCCTCTTCATTCTTTTAAGGTAGAGTGAGAAAAGACCCATGCTGCCGCAGACCAGTTGATTATACTCTCAATACTGTCGAAGGTTATCAAAGGACGAGTCAATGGCTAAATGAGGAGATTGATGTGCATAAACAACGTTCTTCATTAAGCCCAACACCGATTCAGTTACGGCAAGTCCGAAGCGTTTAATCTTTTTGAGGCACAGGACAGCTGGACAACCTGCCAGAAACGAAAGATACCGGTCCATTTTGACCTCGTGAAAGCGTTTGATACAGTATCATATACTTTAAACACAGATAGCGAGGATAGGTTTCAGTGATTCATTTATATCCTGGCCCTGAAACTACCTAGAGAACAGGCTGTAAATAAAGTGAAAATGAGGTAGAGAATCTTGACGTTAAGAGTTTGACGGGAGACCATCTTACGTACACTCCTCTTCCTGACCTATGTTAATGATCTTCTTGATAAAATCGGCTCAGCGGCATTAATCTACTAGGATGACACAAAAATATAGCCTCATTAAAAAGAAGAAAGGTTTTCTCCTCAGTATTGCACATCCACGATTCCACACCCAGAACCCAAACCCAGAGTTTTCGTCTCGCGCAAACATCTAACATCTAGACTGTTGAGTCGAGATCCTAAGGTGGTAATGGTTAACTTCAACAAGTCCATGATACTGCCCGATATTCTTTCATTTTCTTTGATGGAGAACTGCCTTTAACCCGACTGGACTAAACTCCACTAGTTGTAGCTTCCTACTTTAACTCCGATAATCGACTCTGGAAGCTCTTCATCAGTGAGGGCATGATAAGTTTTAGTATGTGGTTATGGAGATTGTCGAATTTCACTGACATCTCATTATTTTTACATTGCAGTGAACCAATCTCCTTCATAGTAGTGGGATAGCTTCTAGTATCCAGAGACCTAAAATGCAGTCAACTGGACATTACCAAAGACTTGGAAACGTATCATAAGAACAAAATGTTATTGAAAACATCCCAATGAGTGGTTTAGAGATCAACAAAAGCTAAAGCAGCTAGTTACCACACGCTGTCTAATCCAAAGGTCTGTGTATCACTAGTTCGATATTTGACGGCCATTGTTTTATCCTGGTGAATAAATATACCTTATGAACGGTATTCCAATAAGACCTACTCTATATTCCTTAACTTCGTGGGCGGTATTCAGTGTGATATTTGGACGTACAAAAACTGAAACTCTGTTTTACCACACTAGTTTTTAGAAACAAACATTGGAAAGCACATGAATTGCCTGTAAATGGCTATCAGTAGTGTCTTAGCAGTAATTTTCAAGTTCCTGAGTCCTAAACATTAGTGTGTCCACCTTATTAATTTATATATGATGAGTCACCAAGTCATTTTTCCAGTGACTAGTTCTACTGAGTAGGATCACAACAAATACCTCGTCAAAATCTACTTAAACACAATCTGATTGTGTGTAAGAGACCAATTTCCTAAATGAGTTCAGTGCAAATTTTCATGGAATATTTTTACAGTCGCACTTGTTCGCTGCAAATAAGCTACTCTCAAGTTTTCCATTTAATCCCAGAAGAATTTAAATTTATTTTTATTATCTCTGAAGTCTTTATATAAAGCCTATGTCATGTATTCAAAGTACAATTACTAAGCAGGAGTATAAATACTTCATTCTGTCTTAAGAAATGCTTATCTAAGCATGATGAATAAAATCTCTTACTTTAGTACAGGTTTAATTAAGTTTCATATATTCTCATGATTATCATGCAGACACTTATTGTTAAATGCTTAGCGATACCGAATAAATTGCGACGAGTTGTTCAAAAACAGATGACTAAAATGATGGATACTAGAGATTAAGGTAACTTAGTAACTAGATAACGAGTTAATTCATTCACTTGTGACCAAGTCATTTGAACAGATTCGAACAGTGTGTCTCATGTTTACTACATAGTCTCTTTTAGAAACAGTGCAATATTCAATTATAAAATCACATGCTAGTGGGCTGAACAAAGTTATTTATTTAAAGCATTCTTTTTACTTATGATATATATCTATTTGATTTTTTATTACACTAAACTTGAAAGGTCTTCTGTAATTTGATTTTTAGGACGTATGGTAACTTAATCGTTCAGAAATTTGCACTGATCTTAAGTATAAAGTTAAAATTGTCACTGGTTATCTTTAACGAACACAACCCTTTCAGTTGATAACACTTTGTTTTTCTCAGATTTATTTACAATACAGTAACAATACTACTTATCAACCAATAACTATTTCGTTAATAAACACTCGAAAAAAGTAGACCGGATAGCACTGACCTCTAATTTTGGTGGAGTTTTGTTCGCTGAGCTCATCCATCCATCTGAGCTACAAATCTTTTCCACCATCTCACACTGACCTCTAAACAATTATTTCAGCTGTTGTATTAGTCATTCCACCATAAATTAAATTATGCCTGTTCATTGTCTTGCTCGCAGACAGACAAAAGGTTTTTCAAAACAGGTTGATCAAGTTTCAAAACTAATCTTTTACAAAACGTTCAAAAGAACTAACTCATAGGAAATGTTTTAATTCATGTGGATATTTACGCCATTTTCCACTTTACCAAGCTGTGATAAATAGTTCTTTTACTTTAAAGATTCGAGCGTGAAAGTAAATAGACTGATGTTCATGTTTACATTCATGGTTATTCACTAGCAATGTTTCATACATCGAGAACCTACATGAATCAGTGAGTCATTAAAAAAAGACAGAATACAAAAACAGAAAATGTATTTCACAATATTAAATAAAAAAAAAAGATCAACTGACACGTAAGTAAATATCAAATAAGCACACTCTAATTGTACTTCATTCATTTTATAGCTTTCTTTGAATGAAAAGTAATATCGAAAATCTGAAAATCATAAAGAAAGTATTTAATTTAGTTTGTGGAGTTTCGAAATAATGTAGATATATCATAGGATTATTACCGTTTATTAAGAATTGATATTGTGATGAGCGTGCAGAATCAACAGATATTGTTCTGCTGATCTCATTATACCGTCAGCTAACACAGTGATAATGAATAACTTCCAACCACTGACTATTTTATTTTTAATGATGAATAAGCTTTGATGAAACTGCCTTCTATGAGCTTTGTGGTGCAGTCGTGAAGCTTTCGTTATCTATCTGAACAAGATGAACAGCACAAAATTTTGATAAAAGTAAGCTAATAGAGTTCCTCTATTTTCAAGTTGTCAACATTAAGTTTGATTGGTTTTTGTTAACAATAGTCCTGTGATTATCTGCATATTTATATTGATTTCCGTCTCTTTTGACCCTCTCCTCTCTTATTCTCAATATAACTGCTTATGATGTTTCTAACTAATTGATAATTTAAGTCTATTTTAATATGTTTACTGACCGGCCAGGATGTAGAGCTTTCAAAAACCTTTTCGACATTTTATATGTTGCCTCGAACTAGGATTTCAACGTTTTCCCGGTCAAGCATGTGTTCACACTTGTCTGCATCTGACGATGTAAGCAAAGAAAAGGTTTTAAGGGGATTAACATTAATAAACAAGTAGGTGGAGTTCATAGAAATGTGAATATGAATGACAATCTTCAAAATAGATATAGAATAGATATAACGGTTATTTATTTCCTAGAGGCAGTGGATGTTTTGGTTTGTTTTCAATGACAGTCAACTCAATCAATATGCGCTATTATCCGTGTATTTTCAGATCAGAGCTACAATTCAGTACAGCATACTTTTATGTAAAGAAATACATAAACCACTTACCATTAGTGACAAATGTTCAGAAGAATACGGACCAGATGAACACCAACAAAATTTCTCTAGCGCCATTGTCTGTTACGCCTTCCTTCACTAATAAAAGGAAGTACGTCAAATTTGATTTGTTGAGAAACATAAATGCAGTTTACATGTTGAAAAATTACCCTGTTATTACCTGTCTGTTTGATCATTGAATATAATTATTCTTCTAGTTCAGCATCGCTTACAGAGTTGTACAGTCGATCCTCGATATATTGATAACCTATAAAATATATCTTCGAACCTTCTTGCTTCTGTCTTTTGATTTCACTTGGTGTGTACGATTTATAGTAGGTGTTATTGGTTAAAGCGTTGTCAAATTCCAAATACCTGTGGCATCTTCAACTGAAGAGTTTATGTACTTAGAATATAAGTAAAGACAGAGAGTGAACCTACGTATGTCATTATAAACAGTTCTGAACTATGTTATTCAAAGTCTCTAACCATTTGTTACGACGATCACCTGGACCACAGTCAACTAATTTGCATCTGCTAACATGGGTCAGTTCAGTCATTAATGACTTCATGAAATGAAGTCTTTGTTTGGCTACCACTAGCTTTCGAACTGCTTTCATAACAGACAACGTCGCCCATCGAGATAAGCGGTGGTTGAGCATACGTAACACATGACTTACCTACCCCGGTTTATGAATATTTACTACCTTACCAATCAATTTGTCGACTTTACCACACCCTGTTCCTACCTAACTTATTGTTGAGTCCAGGATCCCGAAATAAACGAGAATTACTTGAAAGGCACCTATGGTCGAATACTAACAAGTTGTAAATATCCTCTATTTTTATTAACCATTTTTCATAGCCTTAAAGTACAATGAAGTGAACTGCTATTCTGTAAACTTGTTCTTTGGTTAGCAGACAGATTTCTCACCTACGTGATAAATGGCACATTTTGTTAAACATATTAATACCATGAAACAAGTTTATGTTGTTAAAATACTACCACAATGTTATCAAACTCATATCTAACTTGATGTAAGCTAAGTCTACTGAATTTCAACATATTGAGAAACTCCGCTTCCATTATGAACATAACCGAATGGTGACAATTGCTGAATCCCTGAATTTTGATTCGACCAGTTTACTTGCTCTTGTGGAGCAATTTATATTGCCCTTACAGATAGCGTACTTGGCAAACCAATATCCGAGCAACACCATGCATATTTTTCCAAATAGATAGGTAGAAATCAATCAATATCTCAGTTCCTGAGCATATGCTCGGTTCGGATAATACCCCACCACATGAAGCTTTGTTCAAAATCCTCGACAAATTAGGAAGAACTGGATCAAAAAAGGTTTGGATGGGCAGTTTAGGCACAATCAAGTCAATAACAATTTTCCATTTCAAACCCAAATCTTGTGTCTATAAGAGGCCCGTTCAATTCCTTATTCTCCCATGATCTTAGCATCCCTTCAAGTTTTAGTAAGTATTGAAACAGAAAACCTGAGAAATATAAACTCGTCTTGTACTTTGTCAGAAATTTCTAGTGATATATACCATCATAAGATTGTTGTAAAGCACAGAGAATGTAAACGTGTTAATGAGATGGTGAAGATTTGTAGCTTAGGTGGATGATTTTGATGGAGTTTTGTTCTCTGAGCTGGAGAATAAAACTCCATCAAAAACTTGTTAATCCCCTAGATAGCTGCTCTTGTACTCTAGCCTTTGTAGAACTGCTTTCTGGCTGTATACTTTCTAGAGCTAATTGATAGTGTTTGACATTTCTTTAAACCTATCATTACTCAAAATTTTCATCCCAACAAAACTGAATTTTATGTCCCTCCTATCAGCGTAACGATTTTACAAAATCAGTCATATCATATATAAAATGTCATGATTATGATTGGTCTGTTCATACTAAGCAGTTGCCTACTTGATGAATGACATAAATCAGCGTTTATTTAACTGCTGAGAGGTTACTTAAGGATTTATAAAATCCCGTGATATTAGAAATATATGTACCTAAACATGTATGATAAAATATGTTTTGCAAGACCTTCACAACAATAGGCAGACTGAACCTCGCCAGATTCCTTTATTTGTAATAAAAATGCCCCACTTACTCTGAGCTTGAACCACGATCACTAGAATGACCACGCCGATTTGAGTGTGAACCATGTCGTCCCCGACTAGTTGATAAAACAATAAAAAATATTAAATACGTTATTGACTGTCAAAAGACTGTAGGAGTGACTTTGGTGTAGTTTACTCCAAACCATGAGCCAAATTTATTTAAATAGAGCAATAGTTACTAATGACTCTGATACTGTCTTGCTTAGGCACAAGATTTTGCTATGGTAAGTTCATCACTCACAAAATGCCTATATAACGAAATGACCGTTTTTACCTTTATATTTTTAGATTTAATGTTCTTAATGTGTGTATCCGTGTTACTTGAGTGTTGAATTGAATGATACTATTTCTCCATTTTCCTGTTACTGAAAACAAATTAGTCACTCACAAAAACACTAGACATCAATCAGCCTAAAGCATCATTATTAAACCAAAGTTCAACTTTTCATAACAATATATAATAATTCCATCAAATACAGTAAATTTCAATTTCCTCAGCACTAGCCGAAAGTGATCGATTCTATTCTTATCGCTCATAAAACTGAAATATACTTGGTCAATGTCACAGTACGATTGGAAAATGTGAGTCATTTCACACTTATTAGTAGGTTCTGTTGAGATTAGTTACACTGATTTACCAGCAAGAGGAAAGCTAGATTAAACAAAGAAATCAAGATGAATACAGTATTTATCTATAACAAAGGTAGTAAACGTTTTGGAAACTCCTCTCATAAATAAAATAAAACAAATGGTCAATGCGTTCCAGCGTTGGGGAATACTGACATTCAAATCATATATGCAATTCAGAGAAATATACTAGAAAGTACCATAATTATTTCAAAATAACCCATAAAAATGATCTCAGTTAAGGTTTAACACGAATAATGACTGCACATGTTTCATTGTAAACATGAACTGACATAAATACTGTTGTTGCATTTCAGCGAAAGAAACCAAGCTTTTAAAGTAAGCTGGCTATTGAGTCCTTTTTAATGGCTGTCTTCAGGTTTCAAACCACAAAAAGTATCTTTCATAGTTTGTTGGCCCATACTAACTTTTCTACCAACACTGGATGACCAAGTGACTCAATTACTTAATTTTTTAAGATAATGTGTAAATACTTTTGCGAAATACTCTTTTGTTTCCTGCATATTCTGATTGATGTGAATTCCAAGCAACCAGAAATATTTTCACTGTTCAAAAATAGTTACACAGGTAAAAATAGTGATCAAACGTACTTGCAACCCGGCCCTAAACCTCTGTAATTGCGTTTGTCAATGTCAGAGTCATCCTGAAATAAGAAGATAACAAGAAACTAACATCAGACATGCAAGTTACTGAGTTAATATGAATGTAACTAAGGAATACAATTTTGTCATCTTTCTTGTTATTTAAAGCAATAATCAAACTGCTTATTTTCTACTCAGTGGACATGACAATCAAGTTAGAATTGATAAACGACCAAATAGATCAGCAAGAGTTTTGTTATATTTATGATTATTAAATGAGAGCTTTTACTTTGTAGACTTCTACAAACTGAAGTATTATTAAAAGTAATTAAATAATGATAATATGGTTTTATTGTAAGAAAATGCCTAGGATCCCTTCCTAGAATACTTCAGTCATATGACCATGTGATTATTTTATCAAATGCAGTCATAATCGTGTGTGATCTATTGATGTACTAAAAATAACACCGCTGATAAACACAAAGACTCTTTTCCTTCCACTTAGTGAGAACAAAGAAGAAAAAATCGTTTGTGACTTGTTTTCTACGAATGTTTAGAGCAAACTGCCAAAGTAGTAAAGAACTGTTAAGGATGTGTTGGCTAAATAATCACTTCCCCAACATTTTACACTAATCACTTTTGCGGTTGAAAAGCGTTTTCTATTGATGCGCCTTGTTAGAAAGCTTTGTTTTGAAAAAGCTGAAGGTTAGAAGTCGGATCTTGTCTAAAAGTTTGGTATGGACCAAATAAAAACTGTGAGATTTTTATAAAACACCTGTACCAGCGATATTATCACTCCTTTTTCAATTTGGTTACTTTCCGTTGTAAAGACCTCCAAACAACCATTTTATTTAGAAATGCAAAATAGCAAACTCTTTTACAAATACCTAAAGTTCAAAATTCCTTTCGCGCATAGTTTTTATGTTTGTTTTATGTTATTTGGATAACGGTCGGAACTAATTTTTAATTTAAAAAAAGTCTACTTTTGTTAAAATCATCTGCGTGCCACGTTTTTGCGCATATTTATAACATTTGGTACATTTACGATTATGTTACACGATGTTTTAATAAATTCTTGATGATAAGGGCAACTCAAAAGTGAGATAATATTTACAAATGCATGTTGATATCTACTAAAGTAAAAGTGCTTAAATATGCTTACTCACCGAATCTGAGCCATTAAAATGTCGTCTTCCCATATTCCAGCCTTGAGAGCCAGGTTGTTGATTATAGAAACCTTGTCCATACCTTCCATTTCCTCCAGGCACACCACCATAATAGTTTGGCTATGAGACGTTATATCAAAACATCGAAAAAAACATTTTTGAATTTTTAGTATTAACTGTATGGTGGAAACATTCACCCACACGCAAACGACTTTCTAGAAACATGTTTGTTTTATGGGCAGGGTTTTACCCACTCATTTTTAAGTAGACGATTAAAATCATGAAGTGATAAATATGAGGTCATATCAATATCTTAGATTTAGTAAAAGTTAAAGAATGCAGTTTCCGAGGGATAGTAATGAATTTGAGCAATGTCACTTTCGGTGTGTGAACACTGACTTTATTCATGTCGGTAATTAAGATGTTTTATTTCTTACACCTAAACTATTATCCGTAAATGTTTATGAACGAAATACAGAGGTCGGTGAATAAATAATGATTATATACAATATTTAATGCCTTTGTAGATACCTAGTGGAACCTAAACACCCTATCTACAAATCTAACTGATATATAGTTTTTTAAGTAAAGTAGTATCCGTTGGGAAAGTTTTATAAGTTACTCAAAAACATATAGACCACGCAACTGTGAAAAGATACTCACATTCATATTGCCATATCGAGGATCCATGCGATTATTGTAAACACCTTCACTTGGTCCAAAACCCGGATCTTGCAGATTAAATGTGTTTTGGCTGGCATCGAAATGACCACTTTTGTCTCCCTTATGGAAAGGCATTGTGTGCTGTAGACGTATGGTTAGCGATAATGCATCCCCATATTTAAGTGCTGTAAACAACCTTGAAAGAAACATTGCCCATTAAAACAAGTTTATCGCAACAGAATCACACCACTGGTTCTTTTATTAACACAAATGATATGATTCACATTTTTTAGCACATCAAGTTATATGATCAACTAACAGTCTCAGAGGTTTCAAGTAAAAGCTGTGTAAGTTGAACTCAGCATGGAACACTGTTACTAATAAAAATCTATTAAATAAACTGTTAACCAACAAATTTTATGATGGACAGTGAAGTAGAAATTGTTTCAGATACTTAGTTCGTTGTTAAAGCTGTTAAAATAGTGAAAATCTAATTATAAGTTTCAAGAATACTGACATTCATTGCTGTGAATTATGTTTTGGTGGGTTTTAGACAGCTATGGGTACATTGTTTCATTAAGCAAGGCTTGTAGCAACAAAGGAACGGAACGTTTCCGCTCATGTATGTTGTTTATTATGAATTATTCATCTACTGAAGCTAACAAAGAATGGTCACGTTATATGTACATCACAAAGGAAGGCGATTTGATTGAATATCTGGGATACCTGTTCCTATCATCCAGATATTTCAACAATCTATCTATCCTTTGTTTCTTTCAACTGACCATTATATGAATTAATCACACGACCTATGCAGGTGCGTTTGTGAAAACTTTACGACCTTTCGCCGTTGAAATCACGAAAGAGCACGATTGAAGTCATTGTGGTTGTTGGCAATATACATCGAAAAGAATGTGCATTATTCAGTTGTCGATTTTTGAACTGCTAACACCTGATTAGCGATCACTCAATATTTGTCGTCAAAATTCATGAAGAAATAAGAAACGGAAACTTGTTAAAATAGTTTTCACTGAGAATTCTCTATTGCTTCCAAAATATAGTTTGAAAAGAGCTAATAATAATGGTCAAGGACTTGCTCGTGTTTAATGGAACTACCGTGATCTTTAGATAACATCAAAATCACACTTCCCGGTTGGTCCCATTTTGTCTTACCCATGTAGGATTGATAAGTTGATAACAGTACAACACTATCAATACTATTACAGAAATACATTACTATAAGCAGGTACAAAAAACGAGAAGTGATCATTGACAAGTGCACTACCAATAAAGACGAGATAGAACTATACCTGCAAAACCTAGATAAGCGTAAACAGGGATATCGATTGAGTAGAAGAACATCTGACTTGACTATAAGGCAAGATAAAGCACTTCATCATTTCGTGTCGGATGCCGACCCACAAAGAACAAATTCGCAGTTTGAATAGCAAAAACTCAAAAACTCATAAAACCAACTACATAGAAACTTTATTCGAGGTATTGATAACACACTGAAGCACACTTGCATGACAGGAAAATGACATATCCTCTATTACGTCAATGCATACGAACAACTGCAGACACAAATTTGACTGGAAAAATATTAAAACCTTGTATAGTGGGAGTTCATAAAGCACAAGATGATTTCTAGAAGCTCTGCATTCAAATCAATTAGCAATCAAGAAACTTATTGATGTTGATTCAATCTGTCAAACGATCCTAAAAGTCATGAACAAATACTGAGCTAAGCATCAAATCAAAGGTAGGTACAGTAAGAATAAACAGGCAGATAGTAACAGGTTGAAGGTCAAAAATAAGCAGTTAAGACCGAGGTCTACAGAACATGCTGTGAGTCATATATGGAACAATTCGAACACCTCACTTTTACTTGAAGTTTGTGCTGATGATGTCCTTTAGGATAACGGTGAAAGCTTCACAACCAAACCATTGAACTCAGAAAACAGAAACGTTACTAAAACATCTACCCAAACGGCGAATCTTCTGCACGACTTTCAAACAGTCAAATTTTTTTTATATACATTAACAGAAAAACTTACGGAAATCCGCATTTGGATATTTTCCACACTATTTCTCCGCGAATTAATGCAGATTGTGCCCAATGATGTCTAAAAAAAATTGATGCTCATTTTTGCAGTTGTATTATCCGGTTGTTGATATCAAGAATTAAATTTCGGTCACCCTCCGAAGATGCTTTAATTAATTTTCGATTTTTGTGCAAAAAGACAAGTTCCTGTTTGTTAAAGACATTGAATGCACATCAGAATTTATATTCTCTTTACCTAGCAACAAAGGATTCCGGCTGCATAATTTTATTTTAAGTTAGTCTCTTCAGTAAATATTGCAATCATAGCGTTTAAAAGTTATGATGATTACAAATAAATCGCACAAGTTCTTGATTCATAAGTTTATAGGTTACAAAATGCCATTTTTGGTAAGCACCAGTTTTATTAACGAATACGTTTTGAAAGACTTAATCACTGTAAAGAGTGATAAATCAAATAAATCGAATTCTGATTGCCTTATTGCACAGTGAATCATTCGTCTATACTAGGTGAATTATTATGTGACGCTATGTGATAACCTATGATGTTTTGCTTCACGCACTTTAACGATTTGGCAATTATAATGATATGTAATGTTACCAAATAATGTATAAAAAAGTTCATCTGAATAGACTTGTATATAATGCTCACTGATGATCATAATAAACAACCTGTAATTGAAATTGTTTGACCGGATGAAAATAAAACAAAAATTAATCCTCTTTTCAGAGCTGGTCCTGTAAAAATGTCTATCATCAAACCATTTTCTCCAACACTAAGAAAATAGAATTTATGGCAACCGAGTCATTGAAATGACGATTCTAGTAATGTCAGATTTTCTTATGTTTGACGCTACTTACAATACTGCTTATAAGTAGTATGTAGCGGAACATGACGTTGACGTTGTCGCAATTATCAGACGGGGAGAGGAGTTCTAGTACATCGATAGCACGGCGTAAAACACTTATAGTTTGGTCTGCAGAGCACACCGTAAGATCCAAATGTATAATCGAAGGTTGTGTATAAATGTTATATAAATGCTTTGCAATTTCTTAGTAGGAAACTCATCTGGACTCAGTCTTGTTCTACATTCTGAGTTAAGTACATTAGTCTCAGAGTATTCAACATCATACTGCGTGAAACCTCCAGCGTCTGCACAGAATTGAAAGGGGATTTTAGTTATAGCACAGCCGTTAGAACGTCAGAGGTGACGAACTTTTATCTTTATAGGTTCCTTTGCCTTCCAGTGAATGTTTCACTCAGCTTACACTTGACTATATTGTAATGGATTGATCAATTGAATTTTTTGATGTCTCCGTTTATTTCCTGTAGTTTTCTTGTTTTGTGCCATGTTTTCCATAAAGTTCAGATCAGATAGTAACCTACAAACTTTGTTACTAGGGTCAGTATTTCAGGCACTGTCGAATAAATAAAACAAAAACACGTTTTAAAAAAGCAAACGAAAACTATTGTGGTGGTACGTTATCTTGTCTGACATCACAATAACAGTACTAAGCTGGCTTCATACCAACTCCATTTTCGTACTAATAACGCAGTAAAATGTATTTATTAATTCCAACCCACATAATAAAATGTCTGTTATACTTTTAAATGCATTAAAATGTAGGCTTCCTATATGACTTAAACATTCTTCGAAAAGTGTTGTAAATGTACACATGGCATAAATTGCCTACTGTGTGAATTATTTAGTTTATTTTAGCTCATTCTGATAAACACTTATCACATGTGTAGTTACTTTACAGCTAGAAAAATTTACGTAACATACTCAATAGTAATAAAATCTTTTGTTTAAAAATTACCAAATAATAAAAACAAATCAATAACCTTAATGTATTTTTAACGAAGAAAACTGTAAAGACTTTAAAATGCTTTTTTAAAATTAACACGAGTTCATCTAACTAAAAGTTTAGTTTAACCCTGAATTCAACATACATATATCAAAAGTACGAATAGTATATCTCGACCTATATCAGAAATCATACTCACAAGACTTGAAACCTTGAATATTGTGTAAACAGATTAAACTGCTCGTTATCGAGCTATATACTAATATAAAGAAGAGTAAAACAATAAAGACGTACTAAAAGTATGAAACTACCTGGTTGTATTTAGCAATAAATCACTGTGAAACGACTATGTAAGAAATAGTAAGGACAGACAAACAATCTCTGTAGGTATATGATGATTAGGAGTATTTAAATTATAGTACGAACTAAGAATCCCAGAAATAACGTAATCGAATCAAGAAGTACTAGATAAGCACGAACGAATGTATTGTATTTGGAATTCGAAATCAAGCATTCAACAAGTACAAAGGAATCATTAGTTCATTCAAACACCACAATGTAGCTTACCATATTTATGAAGTTCGTCATCTAAATTAGGTATGCCATCTAATAGAGAAAAACGTATATAAAATTGGTCAAATCTGAAGTTCCCATCACTTTTTTAAATCATTTCCTACATCTCAATACTACTTTAATTGAAACAACCTAATTAAGATTTCTGAAGCATTGGTAATTTTGATAACCTTGTTTAAAATTTATTTTGATAGAATACTTAAATGTATCATTCATTTCTTTAAAAAATTATGTCATCATAGTGGTTTGCAGATATTTCATTAATTCATTTATATATAGTTTTTCTCTTTTATTAACTTCTATAAAAAATAACTTAGAGACCGAAAATGTTACAATAATATTTTCATATTGTATATTTTCAAAGAAAATAAACAAAAAGTTGATCAAAAAGTACATGGTTACTAAAAAATAGAAACCTAGCGAATAAATGCAGAAATCGAAATAAGCTTACTGATCATGCATTAATAATTCAAAATATCAGAAGGGGTTTTGTGAAGATTATAGTAATTGCAATAGTTGAGATCATGAGTCAATTGAAGCAAGAAAACCATGGAAAACCTGAAGGCACTGGACGGCCGTTTCGTCTTATTGTGGGACTCCTCAGCAGTGCGCATCCACGACCTCTCCCACTGCGAGATTCGAGCCCAGGACCTATTGGTTTCGCGCGCGAGCATTTAACCACTAGACTAATGAGAAGGCCTCCAGCGGTGTTAATGTCTACTTTCAATTAATCCACGAA